TTGACGGGGTTCGTTTGGGTTTCAATGATGATCTTTACCGATCAACGAACTTCCCAATGAGAGATATGAGAGAATTGGAAGTGCCACTGCTGCACAGCCACACAGGCAGCAGCCTATACGTGTTCCTCCAGGAATGTTGGGTATATGCCTGAGCTGCCCCACGTCAAAGAAAACCCCCGCTAGTAGTAACAAGTGCCTTACTAGTAGTAACAAGAAGCTACTAGTAACAAGTGCATCGCTAGTAGTAACAGGTGCCTTACTAGTAGTAACAAGAAGCTATTAGTAACAAGTGCCATGCTAGTAGTAACAAGTGACGCTACTAGGAGCTCCTCTTGGGATGCATCCACAGGTCAGGTCTACTCTTGTCCTTTGCTCCTACCCCCTCCCCGGCACGCGCGCGCGCGAAAGGTCCTAGTAGTTTCCTTTGCTGATTTTAATTCTCTAATTCTTGTTCCTAGTAGTAAGGCCCTTACTCCTAGTATGGCCAGCCCCGTTCGTAGCGTCCTTTGCTAAGGCTGGGATCTTTGTCGTGAGACCTTCGCCTTTCTTTTGGCTCTTTTCTTGCAGACGCCGGCCTGGATCACCGTTGACCGTTCGGCCGACGGTCGGTCCGTAGTTCGGGCACCTACTATAGTCACAGAACTCATGACCCCCCCCCCCCTGAACCCCCCCCCATGTTAAGTTATCCAACCTGGGTCCATGGACTTTTGAGAGAATCAGGCAGACACTCAGAGGATTTTCGTGAATTTTGAGTGCCCACTGACTGGAGGTTTGCGTGGAGCCATATCATTTGATCGTGTGACACAGACTGACTGAGACAAACAGATAATCACACACAGACGGACTGTAATTCTGAACTATGGTATACACTTAAGTAGACAGACTGACTCAGACTGACTCACTGTCACTGACGACTGACTGACAGAGCAAACGGCGTGCAGAAACAATAGTAACTATATAAAGAATTACGACAACTTCTTGGATTCTTGAATTCAGCATCACTGTCACTGTGTGATGCGTTGGCGATGGCGGTCAGTTCTGCAAGCGAAGCTGCTATCTCGAAATGCGCCTTTGACTTTAGTAAAATGTGAGCAAATAGTCTCAGACTGTCTGACTGACTGAACGGAGTTGAGTTCACAGGAGTGTGAGTTAGGACTGACTGACTGACTGACTGTCTGTACCAGATTTAAAGTTAGAAATGACAAAGCGAGTCAAAGTCCGCATTATATGACGTGTATTGAACGTGTATTATTTAAAGAGCACTCGAGTCGAGTCTAGATTACGAATCTGTTACTCCGAAAAAAAAAACGCTTGGTAGTTAATTCTGATTGAAACTACAAAATGACAATGATCGAAGGACAATTGAGACATTGACAAATTGAACCTGTTTTACTCCGTATGACTGCGGCGGATTCCAGGTATTGTGCAAATTCCAGATGGGCATGCGCTGGAAGGCTTTATAGTGGGTGGTCGAGGGGAGAGACAGACATTGTGGTCCATGCTAGATGTTGGCAGGAATCTCTTCCAATCCAAGAAAGAGGAAAAAATACGACTACACATGACTGATGCGTCAAAGGTGAAGCACGTAGAAGACTTCCACCACTCTTTGTTTCCTGAAATTGCTGTGCCTAAAGAACCCGCTTCCAAACACGCGAAGAACACTACAGCTGGGGACAGTGGGCTCTATCTCAAGAGACGTACGATGGCGACCTCTATGCTAGTTTCATGGATAGCGTACGGCATTGCATTTGCAAAGAGAATGCCGGATGATCGCAAGCGAGCAATACACTTACTGCACGGTCTGTTGATGAAGCTGCTCGTGACAGTGAGCAAGGTACGGCTACTGGTGCCAACATCCGGTCGTGTGGATTGTTGGAGTGAAGTCTATGTGGGAATTGATGGGAAGATTGCCGCCCGGGAGTGTTATTCCCCAGCCGTGCTGACTACCATTAGAACTTCATGGGAGAATTACCGGTTACAGGGCCTGCTAGACTCACACTTGGACAGCCCGTCACTGTGGGATGTGATTTGCTTTGCACTATTGCCTGACAACCCCCAGAACAACCTACTGAAACCATTGAGTTTCAGTCTCCTTGCTCAGATCACGAAGATTTTTGATGAACAGCCCGTGGCAATGTCAGAGAAAATCTCGAAGTACAGGGACATGCTGCTTAAGAATCGGGCCAGAACCACTGTCGCACTCCGGTCAGCTGTGCGCAGCGTTGGTGTTTTCCTTTTGCATGAGAACGTTACCCACGCTGAATTGGTCATGTTTTGGGGTTTTCATTCTGATTTGATTATGAGTCAATCGGCGTTCGGCTGTATTGCAGGCTTCATAGCGAATTAATGGATAATAGTCGAGTCGAATCAATCCATCATCGGTGGACCCCCTGACAGTAACAATAAGAAACGTAAGAAGCGGGTTACTCGAATAGGTGTTCGTAACGTCGGATTCCTTAATTCACAGGTTGTGGTGTTACCTGCAATCGAAAGCACCCAGGAGGACAATGGGATGACCTTCAGAAAAGCGCTTGACAAGTACGAGATGGAGCACGTCCGCAGCAATCGATTTGCATGGCAGTTCACGGTTTGTGCCTAAGACAGTGACATGAGATTCTGAGATGGACAGACAGTCAGACAAACGACTTTTGTACTTTCTATTAACATTGCTGGCAAACAATATGATAAGTATTAATTGGAAACGAACAAACGTAACGTAAGTAACAAAAACAACATAGAAGACGGACCATTATGATGTCAAAAGATGTCAAAAGTCACGACGTGACTCCTGGTGTTGTAGCAAAAGCGCGATAATAATAAGAAATATAAATTTGTAGGTCGTCCATGTTTGTATTTTATTTCAGTCTAGAAGAGTTAAACAAAAAAAGCGTCTGACTGAGTCACTGGTCACAGACTGATCTGTCACTCAGTCTGACAGTCAGACAGACAGTCTGACTCACTGACTGACTGACAGACTGACGGGCGCCTAAGGCGTCCTACTGGGCAAGGGCCTGCGCTACCCTCTCACAATGCCAGAATTTCTGGGCATGGGGTTCCAAAAAGAATTGGAACAGGAGTAACAGGAGTTGAAGAGTCGTGCAAGTCTAACTGACTGATGAAATTCACTATGGACATTGAACAGCTCACTGACAATTGACTCAGCCGATGACTAGACTTCGCTGAGGTGTACATTGATGGAAGCACTGTGGCGTGCAAACCCACAGAGCTTTGCTTCCTCTACTCGCCGGACCCGGACATCCGAAGCGGGGCATACGCCCCCCCTGTTGTCGGGGCCCTGGCTGGCTAAAACGTGTTACATCAGTCAGGGGGGAAGATTCTGTCAGAGTTCAGGGCTGAGCCAATGGCATTCACCGTCACCCCCCTAAGGCCCTAGGTCACGTCAGGTTCCACGAGTCTTTTTTCCGCGAAGCAAGTAGCAAGAGTGTGGACTGCGCTACTGCACTGCGTGATTTTGATCGTCACCGTCGCCACGCTGGCAGAGTCAGAACTTCAAAAGCGACATGTTCTATTGTCATAACTTTGGGCGGAGACCAGTTCTATCAATACGAAGTGAATGTAGTCAATTAGTCTTATACTTGGCAGGAACCGGCCCCCAGCAGACACTGCACAAAATAACCAACGCGGGTAACTGACTTATTGATCTTCCTCAGTCTCACTCAATTGGTCAGTTGTCAGACTGGCTAAAACATCCTGCTGTTGGGCCATGGACCTGTCTATTTCAGTGGTCAGCTCTGATGAAAGTGGAACACCGGTGACGCAGAGCAGCTATAGTCCACAACCAATGCAGGCGAGGGGGGGGTTCACGACCAGAGACAGTCAGACTGCGAGGCGGCATCCTGGAATCCTGAAACAGTCCTTCTTTATTAATTCCCTACCAGTTGAACTGAAGCAAGAACCAGTAGCGTAGCAGCTCAGACAGAGACTGTCTGTCTTATGAATCAATCAACTAATGATAATAAGATATTATTGATTCATACAAACAGTCATTGACTGAGTCATGTCTGAGATTATCAGACTCAGTAATCAATGAACAATTAGTTATACATCCATCCATTAAAATAAGATTTTAAATTTTGGGATGTTTCTTTGAACTTGTTAACCTGGATGATTCCTTCCTGTCAGTCACTGTCCGAATTTCAGTCAGGACCTTCTTGGAGATCCAAATCTCTTGGCAAGAGCATCACGTGGCTTCCAAATTGGCTGGCGCATCATTGTGGAAAGTATTCCAGCGCGGCGTCTCAAGGACTGTCTGTCTGTCTGTCTGGCTGACTTGTCCGTCGGACTGCTTCCTGAGATCAACGATTCTAACGATTCTAACTGCTGTAAATTAAATTATGACATATTATAACAATTGTGGTCTGTGAATAATATCACGGCATATTTGATAATACATACGTTTCGTGACTCGTCATTGACAAATTAATTGAATCGAGGGAACCCGTAACGATGAACATCCACAAGTTGCAGATTATGAAATTAGTTACATGTCCCGATTCCATGTCCCGATTTCGATTCATTCATCGGAGGAATCACTACTCTTCACTGGCAGGAAGGCCACATCGTCCTGCACGGGTGCAGGTACCAGTGAAATGTCTCTAGCAGTCGTGGAGAAAACGGTCAATGATTCTGGAGGGCTAGATGGGAGATACATGGACATAAGGATCAGCAGTGCACACGAACCTTGACAAGTGATCAGTACGGTACAGTCATCTTAGCAGCTAGTGCAGTGCACTGACAGAGAGAAACCGTATGACTATTATTAGTAAACAATGTTCCTTTCAGATTTCTCACAACACAGACTAACAGTACAGAGTCAGTCATGTCATACTCAGGAGTGGGCCACGAAATGTCATCAGCTGATCAACGACGCCCATCACTGGATTAAACAGCTCTCAGGCAAGCATTACCCTACTCCGTGCATCTTTGGGGACTTGGAAGGTGTAATTCCGGATGGTTCATATGAGCCATCGGATTGCTTCATGAAGAAGTTCTACTCCATTGACGCTGCTGACGTGTGCGTCAAACAGTACTGCCACGCACACAGTGGTGATTGCCCTCTCCTCAGCAAAGACAGCGACTTGGAAGTTGCAGGCCTGCCATGCTGGGACTTTAGCATTGCTGGCAAGAGGAGAATGGAAGAGGGTCCCACCAACACCGCCTTTATAACGCACGCAAAGCGGATGGTCGAGAAGGAGGTTCCCCTGGTATTGATCGAAAACACCAAGGACCATTTTTTCGGGCCGGGGAAAAAGGTTTGTTATGATATGTTCATGTGGTTGGAATTATGTGTTATGATGAAGTGTGTTGTAAACTGTTTTGCGCCGATCACAAAGCCAACAATATTGAAAAGATCACATGACATATTCTTTCTTCAGGGTCTCTGTAATTTTAATTTGAGTGCGTCAGTCTGACCTAAGTCTAAGTGCAGTGAATATGCAAAACTTAAAACGTGCCAGAACCTACGGATCCAAATGATCAAGCTGCTCTACGGGGGGCACTACAACATCAAGAAGCTCATGACTGAAACAGATGATGTAGGTCACTCTGGCGCTTCTCGTGAAAGGGTCTACCTGATATTGAGCCATAAGAGAAAGACGGTAGAGATTGCAGACCCAGTGGCCGTGTATGAGAAAATCAGGAACTTCATCAGGCAATCGATTCAGACCACCCCTTCCGACTACATGGTCTCCTCGGACAGCGAGGTGCTGCGGGAAGCTGCGCAGCTAGCTGTCAAGAGAGGTATGCGTGCGCCAGTGACTCGGACGCATGAAAAACTGCCTGTCTGAATCTAGCTTGAATGATGGATGTGTCCTCGCCCTGTTGTGACATCGTTTTCAAACATTAACAACATGGTGTGACACATAAATATAGTGACACATCCTTATGACTATTATGACCGACATTGAAATGAAATTCCTTTGAATCAAACATCTTCGAATTCAAACAGTTTAATTGAAAGTCAGCAACTCAACACAAACTTAGTGTTTGTTGTGACGGTGTTATATGGCGTCATGCAATGTCTGAGACCACTGGGGGAGTCCTGTGACTGATTCTCTGAGTCTGTCTGACGTTGTGTCCTTGTATTGTTGCCAGGCCACTGTTGCACCTGGCCGATTGGGTGTGAAGAAGCTTCTCAACAAGCGTGAGAAGCAGGCTGTGGCATACCTTGACCATGCATACAAACAAAGGGCTAAACAGAATCCTGAATTCGATCCCGACTTGGTGTACTTCTTGGGGGACAACCCTTGGAACAGAATTGTGTGGAGCGCAGCCAGTGGCAGACTCCCAACCCTGCGCATGAATCGGGGGCTGATGTGGATCCCACACAGATCCCGGTGGCTTACAGCTCGGGAACGACTGGCAAGCATGGGCTTTCCCGTGACACAGGCAATGGCAGAGGCTATGGGGAGTATGGAGATTCCGATTAAGGACGTCCAGAGGGCTTCAAGTGCCGCTGGCAACGCAATGCACTTTGGTGTAGTGGGGCTGGTTCAAATGGTCGCGCTTGCCTCCTACCGCCGCACCTGATGTCAGAGTGAGTGGACTGCGACGAGAGTAAGTCTTAGACTTAGACAGTCATGTCACGCCAATTAATACAGACCTGAGCCTCTACAAGCGATTCAGGTATTTTTACCTGGTCGAAGGCTGTTGCACTTTGAAGTGGTGAAAACATAAACTTTAAATTTACAGATATCTCGCCACTGGTTCTGAACCGGACTGTTCCCTCGACTCGTTGTCGACGTCTTAGAAAATAGTGCTTGATTCATGGGAGCTGTGAGAGGAAATCTAAGTATCAGGGGAATCGAATCTGAGCAAACAAACTTTTGTTAGCTTTGCAATCATTGGTATTGGCTTTGTCGGATTTGCAGCGTCTTTGTGAGTTTTGTGACTGCACAGCCGGGTTGCGTTGTATTTTTCAGCTGGATTCAACACTGTGTATACGCGAGATCGTATTTTTAAACTTTTAAATTGAATATGCAGATTATCAAACAAATTGAACATTGTTCGTGCCGATTGACGGGCGGTCGGTGACTGTCTGACTGCCTGTCTGTTTCCTCTCAAATAAATAGGACAGCAGCGAGTCGTCTTACGTCAGTCGTCCTGTGTGACTGGGTCATTCATTGGTGATGGATACGTCATCCTCTCCAGTGGTGAGGAGGCCTGTTCGGAAGAATACTAGCAGCAACGCTCAGCGGCAAGGTGAAGCCGCAGCAGGATCCGTAGTCCCAAAGGCAGACGCTGGGCCTGGGCTACCCCGCAAAGCCCCACGTCCCAGCGCTGAGCAGAGTGGATCAGGGCACAAGGAGAAGAAAGATGAAACAAAACCACCGACGCACCGCATGGCTGGGAAGCGCCCTCCGACACAGCCACTTCCTTGACTATTATGTTTTGTCCTTTTTTGGTAAGTATTATTCTAGTTTTACTGGACTCACTGTGCTAAGACTCTGTTCAGCTTATCTGAATTTTGCTGCTACGCAGGTGGCCTGGTGGATTCACTGTCCCTTTGGAGGATGAGTCCGACCGGGAGCATCATGATTCAGTCGCCCCCAAGCGAGCAGCGAGCAGGGGTCCCAAAGCCAAGGCCAACGCAGGCTCAGCTGCAGGGGGTCGTAAGATGAAGAACCCGGATGGCAGCCAGTGTCGCAGGAGAAATGTCGAGAGGTACAACCAGAAGACCTATGGCCAAGTTGCTGTAACTCGGCTGCAAAACTAATACATTATTTGTTATTTCATTCTTGATTGACAGGAATCCTGGATTCAATTGACGCACGGACGGATGGACTCATTCATGAATCAGAAATTAAGAATAAGTCGGATTAACAATTCACAAAGAGGCCTCACAATCAGTCATGCGTTAATGTTACCAACGCTACGGTACCGTGCTGGATAAGGCGTGCCACCTCATTGATTGGTGCGATGAGGCTGACCCCGTCTTCGCTAACCGGAATGCGTTGGGGAAGGAGAACGTGACTCGGGACCATCTCTACTCCATGATCGCCTTTATGTTCGGCATGGCACCATGGGAGGAACCCAATCCGTAACCAGCCTTTGCTTGGAATTGCTTTGAGCGTTTACTGATGATCCAATTGATGTTCATTGGAGTTTTTGAGGTGAACACGAAGCATCATTTAAAAGATTGGTTACATACATTGTGTCAAATGTTTGTTCGTTTTGTTTAGACTATGTCATATTCAAATGAACTCCACTGCAACTTCTGTAACTGGTAACAGTGCACGCTGACTGCACTGACTTAAATTTAGGCGAGAGAAGCCGGAGATGCTGAAGTCAGTGAGAGGCGAATATGCCCGGCGAGGCAAGCCATTGGAGCGCACTGGGTGGAGTGTGTTTGAAGTGCATGACTTCATGCAGGCTTGGCTCCAGAAGATTGAGACCGGCGAAGATGTGGGTGTTCGGGCACACCAGCTTCCCAAGCGTCCCAACGAGCAGGAGCCGGCGCCAATGCCAGATTGGGTGATCAAGTACCACGAGGAACGTGCTGATGCAGAAGAGGTGAACGATTCTGACGGGCCGGCTGACTACCCCAGTGAAGGATACAAGATTCGCCGCGGCTCGAATCGTGGCCCGTGGCAGCTGAGCCACCCAGATGTTAGCTCCATGGTGGAGTTGCCCGGCCTACCAAACAAAGAAGCCAAGTACTATGTGTACCATACCCGGGATGGAGATTGCGTATGGGTGACAGATGAATCATCAGAGCCTCAATTCTGCAAGGACATTTTTGAGCAGCTGCTTGGTTCATCTACTGCTGCCGGTGGTGGTGGTGTCTCCGCAGGATCCCCGCAACTGGCTGGACAGGTGGCTGCGTCAGGACCGCCTGACTGAGAATCTCATTGTTTGTTTGTGACAGTACGCTTGTAAGAGTGATAATGATGACTATTAATTGATACTAAGACGACTAGACAGTGTTGTAAGCTGTTGGGGTGTCACCCTGACCCTAACAGAGGATCAGTGCAAAAGAAACTTCCTGATGGGCCAACTGTAACCAGACGGTCGGCGCTTCGTCATGGTGGCAGCCAGCTGATTGCTGCTCCCAAGGTCGTTGTAGCTGGACTGGTGTTCAGTTGTCATTTTAGATTTGATTTTGTATTTTTTTAAACAGCTAGATTCTGGAAAATAGATATTAATCTCCCGGTCATTGTCAATTGTCCGTCAATGTTGGGACTTCATGCGAGTGAATTGTTTTGATTTTATAACTACTTATATATTTATTGAGACATTGGTGACACATTGTAATTTAATTGCGCTGAGACAGCATTGCATTGCATCGGATTCGAGGCCGCTCCGGAAGCTGCTGATGATGACGATGATGAATGCTTTGGCTCTGATTCCGGGCTTGAGAATGGCAATGAGAGCGACAAGCAAGCTGACAACCAGGACGACCGACTGACTGACTGACTGACAAATAAATAACTCAATCATTTTATATGTTCGACAATCGTTTAATCGTCATTTCGTGCGTTCAGTTCAAATCGCACTCAACAAACAATTATCAATATAAACTCACGATTCAATAGGAACCGACTTCAGAACTTTTTTTATTTATCGGTGAGGAGGAGGAGTCCGACAATGACGAGGATGCACCTGTGATATTCCAGGATTGCGTCACCAAAGCGAGCTATTTGGTGCGCCTCGCGACCAATAAGGAGCTCAAGCTTCCAAGTGATGTTTCGGACTGGTTTATCAATTTCAATGAATCGGATGAGTCAAGGGATATCACTTATACGCTAGCAAACCATGCCGGAACAATGAAAGAACGCGATGCAATCAAGTTGCTGCATACATCCAGCAAAGCAAAGGAAATCCAAGAGGAGCGCATGAAAATACTCCAAGCAACCAAGACACAGGAAGCAGAAGCCAAGCAGAAAAGGCGCGAGCAGGCTAAGCAGGAGAAGGAAGCAGCGGAATTGATCAGACAGGAGGAGCTTGTGAAGGCAAGGAAGGAAGAACTTGCGAAACTAGAGCAAGAACTCATCAAAGCAAAGCAGCAGAAGCAGCCATCAGATCCGTCACAACAACACACTGAGCCAAGCGCGCAAACACCTGGAGAGCTCCCAAATCCAGAAGACAAGCCTTCAGATCAGGAAACCCGTGAACCACAAATCACGACGCCACCAAAACCAGCTGATTCTGATGTCAGCGCCTCAGCAGCCCCACAAAGCAAATCTGGAGACGACATGGACGTGGAGAACGAAAGCAAAAAAGATGCCAACCAGAAGGAGAGCAAAACTACTGAAGAAGTCAAGCATCTGCCAGAGGCACCGAAAGCAAAGGAGGAAGTCAAGAAGCCAGAGGAGGCACCATCGATCACTCATCCCGTAGATTCACGTGGTCTTGATAAATTGATGGCAGCAGCGAAAGCAGCAGTCAAAAGCAAGTCGGAAGGTAGCAGCGCACAGCCAGCAAAGCGACAAAAGAAGTAAGGGCTGAGAGTACGACATTAGCAGTTCAAGCATGAATGGCTATCCTGCTGTCTTATATTGATCACCCACGATGCACAAATGTAATTCAAAGGCGTTGCAAAAACATGCAGTAACATAGCTGTGGTAAATAAGGCCTTATTAAGCTCTATTAGGGCCTTATTAAGCCTTATTAAGGCTTATTAAGGCCTTATTTGGGGGTTAACTTTCAGGGGGGGGGGGAGCCTACGGACTGCATATACGCAGCAAAAACCACGGTTTTGTCCAAATTAGGCTTAAAAAACATGGATTTTGTTCACTTTCGTGTTTTCTAGCTGCAAACGCCCTAGTTTGACAATGTTTTGGTGCAAAACAACGCCTAGTTTTCCATTTGGAGGGGATTGCATTTTGGTAATATGCGCTCAGGGATGTCGGTTGACTTGAAATTTTAAATGGAAGACTATGCAGTCTGTTATCAGTGGATGTTGTCCTTCTGAAAATCTGAACTAACTGAAGCTCTTGATTCTGGAGCTACCTGATCAGTGTGGGTGTTCTCAAACTGACGCCGGAGCCTGCGGCTTGATCACGAGCGTGCCGCAGTCAGCTGGATCTCAGTTGGCATCCTCAGTAAACAAACAGGTCGACATTGTAGAGGTCTTACTCTTAGACTAGAACAAAACAACTGTTGACTGACTGCGTTACGTAAATCTTGAGTTGATTTTGATGGAATTGCCTTTTCATTATTCCGGCCACATTGCTTGCGCTGTGTGTTTTGTTCATGTTAGAAGGTAACATGGTAAAAGTCTACTTATATAAGCCATTGTTTTCACCACTTCCGGTTTGTAAGAACCTGATCCAAACCAAGCAATTGAATTGGCAACGCGTGTGCAATACACGTTACGCCAGCCGGACGTGAGTGATGATGGCAGCTGACAGTTTCCAACTCCTGTAAAGTTTGCGCTCCAGTCTCGCCCATATGCCAGGTCAATGAAATCTTATCAAACATTATAACAATCGTTGTAACTAAGTCATTACTGTCAGTGTGTCTATTTATTTGAGATCTGACTGGCCGACTGCTCTGGTTAATATATTTAGTAATTTCATACATTCATCACAGTCAATGAGACAACAGTACGACCTAACTAACTATTTTATATTTGTTTCAATCAAGCGTCAAATCATCAGGGGCGTACTGCAGCAGGCAGTAGAGATGAGATTCCAGGGTGAAATCATTGACAACTGGCGGAGGCAAATTCAGACTGGCGTTGTGAGGAATGAGAAACTAAGCTGCTGCTGCATGCGCTTTCTGACCAGTTTTACTACTAATCCACGATCCAGGACCCAGGATATAAAAATATATGACACCGGTCCAAACAGCACCAGGTCACCATTGGACCATTGAAATAGTTGATCCTTAGAATCACCCAGTTTTACTGGTCCTAACCTGCGCCGCACCAATCCTGATTTATCCAAAGAAATCACCAGTGACGTGGAGATCAACAAATTGACAGACTCGTCGTTCTGTCGGTCCGTCCGTCCGCCTCGCATCACTGTGTGGGTACAGCATAGTTGGATCTGTGTTAAACTTGCGGTGCATTGTGTCTGTCAGTCAGACAGTCCCGAGCAAAACTACTCAGTCTGTCTGTGGCCAAGTCACTGAACAGATTTGGCGGTTTCGCCCAGGTCTTGCGAAAGGTGATCGATGACCTCCTCAATGGAAGCAGCGTTTGGAGGCATATGGAATTCATGTCATTGGGAATCGGCGTTGGGAATCAGTTGTATTTGGTTACCAGACTGTCGGAATGACATGACAACATCATGAATCAGCGTTGAGTTGTCGTTAACCATAACACACTATGACTTCTGTATTTTACATTCGAATCAAATGCTGATACGATTTCTGGACGGTTGACTCATGCACCCGGGAAAAGGCAATGAAACAGTGATTCTGAATATAATAGATGACACCTATTATAGAATTTGATACGGGAAGCTCAATTTTGTCAATCCTGTACCTTCACGACCGAAAGCCGTTTAAGCCCAAGTGAAAGTCCTAACAGCTTTCTGGCGATTGCTGATCAGATAGTGACCAATGTCGCAAATGTCAATGTCGGCTCCAGCTGAGTCTCAGGCTGCGTTGGATGCCAGTCCAGAATCCACAGCAGCGTCGGGGAAATCGATGAGCATCTCGCCTAAGACACCCCGCCGGGCACTGGAGCTGGACCCTCAATGACACCTTCGAGCGGATCTGACACACTATTGCTGTGCCATTCCTCTCCAGGGCTTTCACCACCATTGACGGGACCAAAGCATGAGTTGACACCGCTTGGAGACAATCCACTTGTGGTTCAAACATCATTGCCATCATCTGGTGGACTTACCCAAGCGACTATGAACGACTCCCAACCCCCATGTTTGGATGACATCAATGGGGAGCTGCCATCCAAGGGAATGGGAGCGTTTGAGCAATCTCCACTCATGCAAGCATTCATGCGGGGCACTGCCGCTGCTCAAGGCCAGTCAATGCTGACAATGGCAATGGTCGGGGAGAACCTAGACTCAGACCCAAGACTCCAAACACCTCCTACCAAGCTACAGAAGCGCCAGAATCAGAAGCGCCAGAAGGCTAAAGAAGCCCCAGTGCAAGGATGTGATCAGAAATCTGAGGTGGCTGATGCTGGGGGTCCTCAAAAGAAGCGTAGGACTGGGTGTTTTAAGAAGCCTTCCATGACGACGAAGGCTTCTAGTGCCACAAAACGTGGCGGTACCAGCAAAACACTGCGGAAGTCGCAGTGAACCATGCGTTGAGGTGGGTCTCCCAGTTTAGCTGCACTCCGCCATCGACGATACTCGGATACTATACTATAAACTATCAAACAATGACTGACGTCTGACAGGGTTGGCATGAATCATTATGAATGTCATCTACGCCAGAAAACTAATATATTGTGACGCGGTCATCCCCTTAGCCCCGTTCCATTCACTGAATCGAATCGAGTAGCTGCTGGGTGATCCAAGTCAATCGTCTCAGCGCTGATGAAGACATAGGAGGCCACATTGTCCTGGAGCCCGCTCCGATTTATTGTTCTAAGTTTAAATCATCAATGTCGATCCAGACGAAACAAAATTAGACAGTGAACCTGTGTTGTCTGTTATGTTTGTTTGCAATTTTGAATTGAGCTGGCTCGATAGTGCCTGAATCATGGCCTAAAGCGAGCATCAGCTGCCGGAGCTAGGACCTAGTGAGATCTCTCTGAATCTGAAATTCGTCATTTGTCCATCGGCCAACGCAGGCTGCACAAGTGGCGCAAGACAGATGAAGAAAAGGGGATTAGTCAGACTTTTAAATCCAAAACAAACAACTATCACTTACAGAAAGCTATTTTTTGCAAGGGACAACTCAACTTGAAGGAAGACATTTTCTGGGAGTTTTCTGGGCTATCGCTTACTAGAGTGAGTGACACCACTAATTTACTAATGTTATATTCATAGTGACGGCTTAACTCAAGGAAGTATGTAGCAAAGCATATCTGATCCTTTAATTCAAAAGAGACTAGAACAGTGTTCAATTCAATGTTTCACACCAGTGACCCCGAATCTTGATACCTTCACTGAAGTGATTCACAGCTCAGACTAGGACGTCACGTCTGACTGTATTATTTTTTTGGTATGCTTCCTATTTTGATCGTTCGTTGTCGTCACGGATTCTGAATTCTGCACACTCGGCCTGCGCTTCTTCATTGATTGTCGCGTGTGCCAGGCCCGACTTGTTGAGCAAGAGGAAGTGCAACCTGTTCTATGCCACATCCTCAGACCATTATTCCAATCCGAGGATCCGTGACCACGAGTTGAGGTGTCAGTATCAGTCACGTTCACCATAAGATGAGTCCTTTACAGTATAATTCATCTTATTTAGTTGACTGACTGAGTCATGTGAAAAAGACTAAACTCGTTGACCGGGTTGCCGTCGTCGGTGTTTAACTGTTTGCTTTGACATGACTGTCAACCATGTAAAACTGACATGATGACCATTGTCTCAAATCAATCTGAAGGCCTCCCAGGTGACTTCCCAAATTCACAGATGATTCAAAAACAGGCAGACAGACCCCGATCTAGGTAATGGTTCTGCTTTAAGGTAACTGTCATTGATTTCAGAAATCATCACCTCACGGTCTGGACAACTCATCAGTTTTATGTTTTTTTTGCGCGCGCATTACTTAGGTGGTGCTCAAGACCATCAACCACATCCTTTGGGTCATGAGCGGGCAGACGTTGAGATCCTTTCAGGTTCCACTTCACAGGAGATTGCTGCCTGGGGACAACCCACGAGACTGTCAATTGACCCCGATCAAGGAGCTGAAGATCCTAAAGATGGCAACTTAATTGGTTTTGTATCTATGATTTATGTTTCAGATTCAGGTGCGTTTTATCATTAGATAGACTCAGACAGACTGACCGTTTGCACCCGTGAATCAATGAGTCAATAACAATGAAACCCGGAAAACATCGTCACACACACAGTAACAAAACAGATTATGTAACTTGTTTTCACGGCTCAGGTAGCCGATGAAGAGGGGTCCCAGCACAAGGGATTGCATTACGCACTTCAAAAGCTCCATATCTTCGGAGTGACGGAGCCGGAGAGCAGCCACCCGAAGTGGAACGCCTTCAGGAAGTCGATTGATCATTCTTCTCTCAGCCTGAGCGTCATGAAGCTAGTGGTTTGCTGTTCCTGGGCCATTGTTGGATTAGAGGCCATAATGAACGTAACAAATCAAAGCCTTTATTGGTTTCCAACACGATCCGATCCGTTCAAATAGGTTTGTTTGTCGACATTATTAACAGACAGTTCAGACAGCACTCACTGTCACTCACTCCGTCCGACCGACGGTCCGAGGTCAGGTCCGAGGCCCGGCCCCGGGATTGAAATCACTATCGGATTCTCCGAGGCAATTTTGACCATGGAGCGTGGAAATCTGGAGACAGGCTAAGTTCCAAGGTTGACGCATTCCACAATTTCATCAAGACCAAGGATGCCAGCTACTTCGAGGCCTACGCGGAGAACATGGCCTTTGATCAAAACTGCACCGTGGATGAAAACATCGATTTCACCCGTTACAGTGAAGAGTGGCTAGAAGACCGTTTCGTGAACACGCGTGGACAGTATGTGACTTGGCTGTTCTGAGAGAAATTATTATAGATCCGAATTCAGTGTTTAAAACCCTAATATCGCAAAATTTACTGTAAGCATTCCATTGATTGGCGCAACAATATGGTGGAACACTGCAGCAGTACTGGATTCTTGTGGTAGATCGACTCAGCTTCCCTTAGTCATTAGTCAGTCATTAGTCCGTCCAAAAGTCGATTCGTTACAACTACTATTACTATTAATAATTAACAATTCTTAAATTTATCATTATAATATCAATTTTTTCAAAATCTAGAGCATAGCACTTGAATACGAGTCTGACTCACTGACAGTAGACTTAGAGAGACAGAGCGGCCCTGCCAGGTCAAAACAAAGCAGTGGTTCGGCATGAACACGGGCTTCCGGCAGCTGATCAAATCCTGGACAGTGCAACCTGAGGCTATTGCTGCTTTGCACGCGTACCTCCAACAGAACCCAGAAGCCGAGGACCGGTGGCGATACAAGCTGTTCTATTTTTCTTGATGGTTTGCAACTTGAACCGCTGCTGCCAGAGTCCAGACTCACGCTGTTCAGACCTCATCAACCGTTTTTATCCCCATGAATGAACAGGTAACAAAAAAATATGTCCACTTCCGGCAACCAACATTGTATGACTCTGTCGATGTCTGTAGTTAGTTGTCATTTTACGAGCCGACCTGTCTGACTGTCTGTCTGTCTGAAATTCAATATTAGTTGCCTCAACTCATCAGATCATCAGATCGATAATTAAGATTTTGAATAATAGTGACAGTGGTCACAGACAGACAGACATCAGTCTGTCAGACAGTCAGACATACAAACATACATACAAACAAACAATCTGACGCGATGTCGGTGACACTGTCATTGTGCCAGGATGACGCTGGTGCTGCAGGCGATGATGCTCCCCGTGAATCTGAGATCAAGACAAAGTCAGAATTCTACAAGGTGTTTGGTCAAGCCGGTCCAACCAAGATGGTTCATCAGTTTATGCAGGACAGAACGCTTCAACTGCATGCGATTGTGTTGACAGAAGTTGCGCTCCCTTTAGAAGCAAACTACTATGAAGAGTTGAGGCAAACGGCTGAGGGGATTGAAGCGCAGAAAGCTTTGGCAGCTGGCAGAGCCAACTTTGATTGGTTGCAGACCATTTTTGACACCTTGGAGGTGCCCACGCAGAAGGCCTTCATGAGCAGACTTGGCTTGACTAAGCCTTTGCAGCCGCCACTGGACTATGCTTTTGCAGAATCGGATTTGGAATGGGCAAAGGCCGAGATGGACATAGTCAACCTGGCACATACATTTGCTTTCCACTTAGCGTCACACGTGTGTTGGGCAAATATGACATTCTCAGAGGCTCTTCCTCACGCAGCTGCAGTGTATTTGCACAACTGCCCCGATGTTCGCAAACACCGGGTTGGCAAACTATCGCAAATGATTGAATGCTTGCTGTCTGTTGAACAGCAGGTGATCATACAAAACAAGTCTGACACGACTTTAGCCGAGTGCTTAAGGGATGTTGGCTTTCATCTACATCAGTTGGCTCGCTACACCTTGGTCCTGGCTTCCCAGAGTGGATACGACCCAAATTGCCCTCTCATGATGGAGCTGATGGAATTGCTGTATGCTGGGTCAGGAACAACAAAGGAGTTGCTTGAATCCACCTTTGCATTCTTGCATCGAAAAGTTCAGCAACACACGGCAGGAAAACGAATGGCAGACGAGACAAAGTACGCCTACGCTGCTCTCTCTCCTTATCCGAAGGCTGGTGGAGTTGGTGTAATTCGACCATCTGCTGAAGACTTTGATTTTGTACTCTCAGAACACGGGGCGGATAGCCGCATGTGGGCCAGCAAGCATTTGTTCCAGCCTCATACCACCCCAATGCCTGATGATGGAACAAAAATCAAGCCATCTGACATTTTTGAGAGCCGCGATGAATGGAAGCCTTCGGGGTCGCTTTCACACCAGACGACAGTTGCAGCACTGCGTTATTTGATGGCTGACCGCGTGAACTTGTGGGCCAACTCCGACAATGCCTGGATAGGCCCAAATGCCCAAATTAAGGTTTGATTATCAGAGATCGTTTATTAGTTCTTTAGTAGGTAAACTATAAGCTGTAAATATTTGTTAGTTTGTTTAATTATTGCTAAATCAATACAGTTTTTGTTGCCGCGTAAGTAGGTAAGGACTGACTGACTGTCGTCATTTGTCCGCCAGGCAGCTTCTTCAAGACTGGAGCAGTGTTCAGAGAGGTTAGCAGCGGCGAATACTACTTGTCTTTGGGATTCAGGAAATGGTGCGCTCTGGGACTTCGAATGCATGTGTACAACGTGGGCGAGCAGGCCTGACTGTCTGACTGACTGTGACTGACTGTCAGACCACTCAGTCAGTACATGTCAGTACTATAAATACTACAGTACAGTCATTTCAGAAATTGTATTTATAACGACCTGATTAATAGAATAATATGCAGGAATCCTCTCACATATTATTGTAAAATGTCTGGGAGCTGCGTCGTCATCAGACAAATTATGTCACAATTTAATGCATCTGAATTCAAAAACATTCAGAATTCAGAAACCCTATTATAACCCACTCACCTGGCAAGCAGTGACACTTGATCTTATGAATGAGTCTCACTCCCTGCAACTCACTGAATGACCTCATTTTGGTTTCTTGCCCGTGTCTTAGAGTCGTAATTTGATAAAGTTGGAGGTTCTCTTGAGCAGTGTGTAATTTCAACTGGGGGTAACGGACCTAACATTGCCATAAGAATCTGACCAGACTTCTCTAGCTAATACATATTATGTTTTATTTGTAACTATTGAATTGTTGTCAAACTGTTTGTTGCGCATACATTCATCGGTTTTTGGGACTTGAACTCAGTGTCAGTCAGAGATTGGCTGACTGTTTGTTTGTTTGTCTGTTTGTGTTGACTCATCGACAACGCCGCCGTAGTCGTGTTACTGAACTGCTGTTAGATTATTTAATTCTGCAGTCCATGTCGTTCTACGCTTATTACTGATTCAATTCCAGCAGGCGTTCCTCGACTTTGACTCAATCTCCGAGCCACGGACTATGACCAACTTCATCCTGAACCCCGACAACTCAAATTGGAGAATTGTAAAAATCAGAAGACTGCTGCCAGCATGTGTGAGTCAAGCTCACGAAAGTACATGGTCTCCCATTGAACTTGTGGACGCAGTGGGCGAGTGTGTCATCAAAGCGGCGGTGTGGGAAGGCTGCTTCATCAGAATGGATCACCTCAGGCAACTATGTGGGTCGTGGAGGTTGGAGCTGAACTCAAGGAAACTGATCCTTGCGAAGAACCTGGTAGAACATTTGTTCCCAGACGCATCCGAAAAGGAGAAGGCATTCATGATTCGCAAGATACAGTACCCAGGCAACCCGAGGCTTGGCACAGAAGCTGCGAAGGTGCTGGAGTTGGTTGCAGCTATGGATGTGGAAAATGCGCAGGAGTGGTCTAAAATCAAAGCCTTAGCCAGACAGAAGATACAGAGATGAAGCAACGTGCTGCGAAGGAGGCGGTGGATGAGCTCAAGCGTGGCGCCGCGCCTCCTGATGCAAATCCTGCAGCTGGCAGCAAGCGGAAGAGCAGCGGAGGTGCTGCCAGAGGACCAGACACCGCACCGAGAAAGGCTGCCAGGACTCCTCCGACATTGAAGTCCCCCATTCACGTAAAGTTGCAAGCGGTGAATGTACAAATCACTCGTGATCCGGACTCCTACGGTTACAGGGCATTGTTCAACGCTGGCCGCTTGTTCAATTAATTCAGTAAAAAGTTTAAATTCTTTGTTCGTGCATCATTGTTTGGAGTGTGAATTCATCCAACTGACAATAGTAAGCCACCCTTAATGATAATATATGATACAATAGTAAAATAAATAATATTCATAAATTTTGAATTCGGAGCTCTACTCGTTGAAGGCTCCCTGCCATCAGGTATTGGTGTTGTATCACTCGTTGTCATCAGTGAGTCTCTCTGTCGCTATCTCTGTTGCGTCTGTCTGTCTGTCTGTCTTGTCAGACTGTGGGAAACTTTTATGTTACACTGACTCGAACGACGTTGACCAAACACCAAAACCAGGAGAAGGCTCCAAGTCGTGCCAAAGGAAGTGGAAGACGCACCAGAATCCTACAGAATACGATGCGCTCTATACTGTGCTCAAGTGGGTGCATGATCGCTGGAACATCCTTCATCCCGATGACCAACTTTCAATGTTCCTTGGACATGTGATCCCAATTTTCTTTAATGACCAGGCTTTTAATTTTATATCCCGAATTAATCACATTTGTTACAACTATTTCTTATATACACTGGAAATGTGGACTCGGAGATGCAGAAGATCTTACAGACCACATATCGCATCAGGCCAGATGCAGCAAAGATGCAGGAATTCGTGGACGCTGCTTCCGTCGCGGTCCCTGCCGCGGCCCCTGCCGCGGCCGCTGATGGTGCTGATGCAGAGCCGGCGCCGGCAGCTGCAGCTGCTGCTGCCGTGCCGGACAATGATCCGGATGTCGACGCAGCGTGAGGGAAAGAAGTGCTGGAACGTTTATCTATTCATTCGGTCGGTCCGGACGAATTATTTGGATTTACAATCTGAAAGTATTGAGAGGTAACAAACCAATCTTTATCAAGAACATGGTGCCCAAAGCAATGATGCCACTACCTTTTCCCTTTGATATTGGTCTGGAAGCATGCTGGGTAGTGTGTTCAAACCCGTGTCTGATTGATCATGATTGATCATCCTCCGGAGCCACGATTGAATGACAGAATCACGCAGTCCATTCGGACATTCCATCATATTGCAAGAATCATATATTCATCTTATTTTTTGGGAAAGCCTTATTTAAGGCTTACTTTCAAGTTATTTTCAGGAGTCAGAAATAAGCCTTTAATAAGGCTTATTAAGGTACTATTAAGGGATAGGAAAGCTTATATGGTGAGGTGGCTTCATACCTTCTAGGGGGGAGGGGTTCGGGGGGGGGGCTATGTTCTTTGTGATATAGTTACTATTACGAATTACTTGCTTTTTTGTTACTAGTAGTAAGGCACCTGTTACTACTAGCGTGGCACCTGTTACTACTAGCGTGGCACCTGTTACTACTAGCGTGGCACCTGTTACTACTAGCGTGGCACCTGTTACTAGTAGTAACAAGAAGCTAATTATTTACATAGAATGTTTGTAGCGAATCGCAAACAAGTCGCACACCGTTCAAAGCGTAAGGATACTCTGCAGCATGTGCGCCTACTGTGCCTTCGGTTGGCTGGCAGAGGCCGAGACACGGCTTGACCGGAAAGAAAGAAAGGAAATCAAAAACTAGTGCAGAATAGTTTTTAGTTTTTTGAAGAAGAAAAACGAAAGGGAACGGACATGCGTGCCTTGAGGTCCAAGGCTTCGTGCAGTTTGAGAGCGAGGGAGTTGGAACGGTCCGGCAAAACGGGAGAAAGGTCACCAAAGCCTAAGCAGTAACAAGTGCCTTACTAGTAACAATGTTTGCTATTAATGTAAATTGAATTCTGTTACTAGTAGCGTGGCACGTTCGTTGGAAGGGTCTTCCGAGGCCTGGAAATGGCAAGAACAAGGCGAAGGTTGGTTATTTGCTGCGACGTGGCTCCTCTTTGGGCCACCTGTCATGGTCCGGGTCCTCAGGGCGGGCGAGGCCACGACGTCCCTCGCCTCGACCGGATCTGAGGCATCGGCAGATGTGCTTTTGGGCTTAGACTTGGCCAGCATCACTGACAAGGCAGATGTTGGTATTGGCGAGATTTGATCCATTGTGATCCTCTTTCAGGTCGGAGAAGCTATGGGAATAGGTCGCTTGGAGTTCGGCATTCGCCTGGCAGGCATGCAAGTTTTGACATGTTTGGAGAATACGTGTTCCAAAAGCAAGATCCCTCAAATATGTTCAAAGATCAGCAATAGGTGTCAGCTTTTGCTGCGAAATCTGAAGGCCTTAGGTTTGGTCATTTTCTGCCACCTACCCAAAGCGCCCAGTATGCCTTTCCTCTTGGCTGCCTTGCGGTAATCAACTATCATGTATTGCCACAAGTTGCACATTGTATGCTCAGAGTTTTTTTGGGGCAGGCATGGTTGCGATTAGCTTTGCCGTCCAAAACCCAGAATGAGCTCCGCAATCTTGCTGATGTCATGACAATGGCGACCCTTTGGCCGTTGTCATAACGTTCTTGCTACAGAAAGAAGCATTCTTTTTCTGAAACGGGTGTGCAAAAACGCATGTGTGTAAAATGTTAACAGCTATGCACCCGCTCTCCGTTTGTCACCGACTTCACAGATTCCACACCCAATACATCATGAGTCATGAGATGTTCGATGCTGTCCTTTCAAACTGCGAGGGAGCGGACCACCAGCTGAACTTTCACTAAACTAAACTTTAACAAGAAGCTATTAAAAACATCAAAATAATAGCAAACAGTGTTACTAGTAAGGCACTTGTTCCTAATAGCTTCTTGTTCATAATGCTGCCGTGCCGTGGCAGAAAAGACACAAGCACATCCAGAAAGTTTGAACATCAAGATTTGTCAACGTGGCGAACGGGTGACGTGTGCAACAATGAACCTGCCGAATACAAAACCTGAAAATTCTGCCACGGCGCCGAAAAGGTGAGCATAGCGAGCGACAAGGGCATCACATTTTGAAAAGCTTGCACGTGAAATGCGTAGAAGGTGGCGCTTCCCGTAACATCCGTTTAAACAGGTGGCGCTGGCCTGTCTTGTCGCACAAGCCAGCCAGACTGAGGTAGAGCGAGAACCTGACCTTCGAGCTGCAATAGGAGTGCGACAATTAGGTCCACTGTATAGATGCCACCTGGCAGCGTGTGCCACGCCGTGTGCCACGCCGTGTGCCATGAGTTCTTTATTCGTTTTTCTCAAGATGGCGGTGCACTTCGTCCTCCGCCTTCGCTCGAAAAGACAGAGAGCACATCGTTAGGGTCTTCCTTCCCGGCGTCCCGACGAACGGAGGTGACTCGTGTTCGTCATCCTAAGCTCGTCACGTCACCGGGAGCGCGTGCAACGCGTTACTCGTAGAAACAATGTTCGCTACTAGGAACAAGTGCATCGCTTCTAGTAACAAGTGCCTTACTAGTAGTAACAAGAAGCTAGTAGAAACAAGAAGCTACTAGTAACAAGTGCATCGCTTCTAGTAACAAGTGCCTTACTAGTAGTAACAAGGTTCGCTATTAGAAACAAGAAGCTACTAGGAACAAGTGCATCGCCAAGTCGTCTTGGTCCCGTCACTGGACGCCTCGAGAAGTGGCCAAGATGGCAGACGGAAGAGAGACGACCACAAGTGTTTCGGGAGTAGGGACTCCCGAACAACCATTTAACGAAGAACGTGTGGACTTATCAGTGTAAAACCCGACCAGCTCAGCTCAAGTCTAAGGGCGGCTAGGCCAGAGTTTTGCTTGGCATTGCTGATGGATTCTCAGGCTGTTTTCCAGGTCCACTTGGCCAATGCTGGTGATGATAATGATTTCCTAGGGAAGAAGCACATCTGAAGCGTCTAAGGTGTACGGATGGTCGTTGACAATCTCTTCTGCTCTTCTTTGCAGGCAAGTCGATTTTTTCCGCAACAAACCATCAATCGAACAATCGAAAGGATGGAACGGGAGCGGGCAGGTTCAAGAGCAGGAACCACTTTTGTTTGCGCTTCACGTTATTGGGTCGTCTAAGCCAACTGAGCTTGCAAAAAATGAACTGTTCAGAAGAATAAGTACATGGTTCAAAAGCATTCAAAAGCGCTAGTAATTCTTGGTACTTCTGCCATTGGTGAACTTACGTTGATTGTCGCGTCGACAACCATGTGGGGGCCTGGGCAATTGGTTTGCAACACACGGGGGTCTTTGAGGAAGATTTGCAACACTTTGTCATAGAAACAATGTTCGCTACTAGGAACAAGTGCATCGCTTCTAGTAACAAGTGCTTTGGGTTTCGTGGCGCGTATTAGCACGCGCCTTTTTCCCGTGTTCCTTTTTTTCTGCCCGATCGAAACTGGCTTTAGCACGCTGGAAGGTTCATTCGCGGCTCGCGTAGCCGGAATTCTTGGTTCTTCCAGGCAAGGGGCTTAGAATTGAACATGTTCTTGGGCACTTTCTGGTCACAGCCGACACATTCTTTGGATCATCGCGTTCTACGATTTCCACATCATTAAGGTCCGTCGTGTGGTCTTGAGGCCTCGTGATTTGCCGCATTGAACTCATTTATTGAACAATACATCGTAGGCAGGCAAAGACTTTTTTACATTGCGTTGGCAGAAGCGGGTGACTTTTGCGCGAAGACACGAAGATACCAAGACACGCGAAGACACGAAGAGGCTTCAGGTCTTCAAGGCTTTCAGGTCGTCACCAGGCTTCAGGTCTTCAAGGCTTCAGGACGTCACCAGGCTTCAGGTCGTCAGCAGGGTTCAAGGCTTCATGTCTTCAGAGGAAAGTCACCCGGGATTGCCAACGCACTGCTTTTAATAGAAACAGATTATTGTTGCGGCTGTTGTCATTGCATTGCCTTGCAAATTGCTGGTTTCTTGCTGTGCAAGAGGCTCACCTTTTTCCGTTACCCTGCGCAGCTTTCCGGAACGTGGGTGTTATTCTCGGAAGTCTCAGGTGGTTGCCGTGAGATGGACTTTTGTACATCCAGCCTTGAATTCAATTTCTGGCTAACAGGAAATGGGTTTCCGTTCTCAGGCGATGTCGGCCTACTTGTCACTGCTGGGCAGCCGTTGTTCGCTTTATGCAACGGTGGCCGTCACAGAGCCGCCCCTGGAGCCACGGAAGCTTCACGTGGCCAAGGTGTCGAAGATAAAGAAAGAGTTGCAGCCCTTTGGAATCAAAAAAATAAAGACCGCTTGTAGAATCCCGTTTACCCTCAGGGCGCTTTGCTGCTGAGCCACCAGGCTTTGGGAGAGTGCGAGGCCGTTCACTTGAATCTCAGCTCAAAAAACGCCTATTCTTCACTTATCAAAGGCATGCAAATATGTGTTATTTGATAACACTCATCAACTTGTATATGATCAGGTTGGGCAGGGAGCCATTGTCGCCGCAGACGCAGTCATGCTGCCACACTCAGTTGTCATTTCCTGAGACCGCTTTTACTAGAGCGAACCGCGGAGCGAAGCTAAAGGAAGCACTGAAAATGCTGAAGACAATAGACTCTTTAAGAAAAATATTTCAAAACCTAATAGCTATGGCCTCCAACCCACCAGCAATCTACTAGCGATGGCCTCCACCCTTCCAGCGATGGCCTCCAACCTGCCAGTCAGACACAACGCGGAGAGAAGGAATGATAGAGCAGAATAAAAGTCAAAAGGATTCCAAAAAATCAAAAAACCAGTACCTTCCTTGAATTGTTAAGCCCAATTTGTTCAATGTGTCCTTCTAATTGTTTAGCAGCTTTCTCAGGTTGAGGCCAGAGGCACTGTAGGCGCCATGAGCGTGGCCGGACGACCCGTTCGATCCGATTTGCAGCTGGTGGGCCTGGGGCTCAGAACCCATTTTTGCATTTTGCTAACACGTTTTTTGGCTACTAGGAACAAATGCATCGCTACTAGTAACAAGAAAGCTAGCAGTAACAAGAAAGCTAGTAGTAACAAGTGCATCGCTACTAGGAACAAGTGCCTTACTAGTAGTAACAAGATGTAGTAATTAGAATTAAGTTTAATGAGTAACAATAAGAATTACATTAAGTTAAATTAGAATTAAATGTTTTCCATGTTTCTATGTGGTTTTTCCTTGCTCCTAGTAACGATGCCAGGAGCCCCTAGTAGCGTCCTTCACAACGTGCAATGTGTTTTTCTTTTGTTGGACCTTCCTGTCCTTCCGATGCATTGTGCACAATATATGCAAGGCATTGATGCATTTCTAACTTTTCTGCCCTGTTTTCCTTCTCAGATTCGTTCTGCCTTTTTTCGGCATGGACCCCATTTTGAGAACCAAAGCATACTTGTCTCGTTCTGTCACTGCCCGAATCATAAATGAATAAGTATATATAATAGATATGAGATATGATAAAATGTAAAAAGATAGTGCTAGCGGGCAATGTCCTTGGTGCGGACGGCTCCCCAAGTCGCGAAGGGCTGGCTCAAGGATCACAGTTTCGTTCAGAGCCGAAAAGTTAGGTTCAGTTCGGTTCGGAACTAGCATTCCAAGCCCCAAAGGGGCTACCCAGCTAAGTAGCTCTCAACTACCCAGCTAAGTAGCAATCATTGCTTGACTTCGTCAAGGCAATCCGGGTGTGATCATGCGACGTGGCACCTTGAGCAAAACACCTGCCACGAGTTGGGGCTGGCGTTGGTTGCGGGCGTAGTGCGCTCAGAGGGTGCCTCACCATGTTACTAAGGCACTTGTTACTACTAGTAAGGCACTTGTTACTAGTAGCGATGCACTTGTTTCTACTAGCTTCTTGTTGCTACTAGTAAGGCACTTGTTACTACTAGTAAGGGGGAAAAAAGCGAAACGTGTTCCGAGTTGCCAAACTCAGCGATGCGCCCTCCGAGGATTGTTTGCCTTCTCTACCCGCTTTTGGCGCCGGGCCTCTTGCAGTTGCTGCTTCTCATCACTTTGCTCCCTGCAATGTGACCCGTAGTTGGCATCCTTGACGTCCTGCAAGTAAAGCATGAGTCAGACTTTTGCGCTGGACTCGACCTTTTCCCCAATGCTGTTGCTACTTCACGTTGCAGTAGAGTTGGTGTTACGCTAATTGAAGTCGCATAGGAACGCTGAAAAGGCTTGTTGATTTCACCGTGTACCCGCTTTTCGAAAAGCACTGGTCGAGACTTGAGAATTGGTGAAACGGAGCCGCCACAAGTCGGTTGGACTGAAATGACTGGAAAGTCACTGTCACAATTCAGAATCCTTCCGTGTTTTTTCTTGTCAAACCTTGGTTTCTGTCAAATCACCTTGTTTTTGGTGATCACATTTACTGAAGCCACCCAAGCTTGGGCCACGCCGAGTTGGTTTGGTCACTGACCTTTTTTTTGGTAGCAAAACAACGCACTGAAGACTCACATCGCAGGTGGTGAAACTGTGAACTTCGTCGTTCTCAAAATAACACGATTTTTTCTCAATGATAGGAGAGGAGAGAAATGATTGCCCGCACTACCCAAAATGATTTGAACCTGCTGACTTACCCCGTAATTCCTGGATACAGGGAGTAAGACCAAGTAAGCAAGAAAGATTGAGCGCAACATGTGCCTCACATGAGATCCCATCTCGGAAGCTGAACGCGGTTGTGCTGGGCTTTGTGCCGTCAAGGTTGTCATCCTGCAGAATAAATTCAATCCATCGCTACTAGGGTGGAGGGCATTCCTATCATCCTTTTGCTAGGTTGGAGGCCATCAGGTGAATCATGGCGAAACTTCTCGTGTACAACTGAAGTGCCTTTGACGATTGAGACGCACGATCACACAACTGACTCAGTTGTCAGAGCACACCCCATTATGACTCGACGTACGAGCCCAAAATCTGAATTTAAAGACATGAAAACAGTTGACAAATGTTTTGAACAATTTTTTTCTTGATCCTCACAGATCTTGACAAGTTCGAACTGCTGGCCAAAACATACGACACATCCAGTCAAGAAGGGCCCAACACACTGACCGATTCAACTGGCTGTTAGCAATTAGCTTGACAGACAGAGCGGAATGCCAAGCACAAAGCACCAAAGCACAAAGCTGCCTTGGCATCATGTTTGTCAAACTTTCCGCATGGTATCCCGCACGGTGTTTGCTTCCATCGCAGACCCAGACTTTAGATGGAAGTAGCATGAAGTAGCAGATTTGCGAAGACGTACCGTAGTTGTTCGACACATGGATCTAATGTTGCAAGGTCCGTCCACAATGTTGAGTCCTACCTTCGGCGAAGACTGGACCATCACTGAACCTCAACTTTCGAACTGTCCGATATGTTTCCGCTTCTCTTCCAATCTGGAGGCTTCAGGGAAATTGGCAAAGATAAACCAAAAGCTTGCTCAATCCCGCAGCAACCTCCTCTTGACCAGGTTCGTGATTACTGATTTGACAAACTTCGGGGGCTCCAGTGACATATTCTACAGCAGGCACACGACAGTTCGTCGAAAGGCAAAACAAATCACGCCTAGGCGTTGCGCTTCTACCCCCTCCTTGGCCGATTAGTGCGCTTCTAACGGCTACTTCTGGCTTCAGGTTCTGACAGCACACGGAACAAGAAGCTACGAACGGAGCAAAGGGCATCGCTACGAACGGAGCAAGGACGCTACTAGGGGCTCTTGGCATCGCTACTAGTGACAAGAAGCTACTAGGGGCTCCTGTCCGCACTACTAGGGGCTATTCCTGAACCTGGTCAGCTCCGTTCTTGCAGTTCACCCGAGTGCCGCCCGAGCGCAGACGGTTGGGGGGTCGCTTGGGGAGACCATTTTGCGGTGGACAAGCGATTTTAATGTCTTGGGTGGAGATGTCGCTGCGTCATGCGGTTGTGCGCGGCCACGGTGGAAAGTGCGTTTGCGTGAGTCCGTGTCATTGGGGGAAGGGAAGCATGCTGGTGTAACCGCGGTGTGTCGCTGGGGAGCGGGATGATTGGCGGCGTCCACGAGTCTCATCTAAATTCTAACAGCTTCTTGTTACTACTAGTAAGGCACCTGTTTCTAGTAGCGTGGCACTTGTTTCTAATAGCTTCTTGTTACTACTAGTAAGGCACCTGTTTCTAGTAGCGTGGCACTTGTTCCTAGTAGCTTCTTGTTACTACTAGTAACAACTCTAGAAACGTGCGAGCTGCACGTATACTTGTACCATATTGTAACATACATCTCTTACTACGCACACCCTCCTCTACATAACCTTCCCTCCCACGCTCCCCGACAATCCAGGGTTCGGCTCTTTTCTGTGGTCCCCGTGGTCGCCCACATACTTGGTGGTCACCCCCAAACTGCCCACACACAACTCGCAACGTATCAGACCTGTAAGCCATGGCAATCCTCAGATCACAGAGAAATGCATGTAGGCTCGGCGTGCTCGGAAAAGTCCCGGCTGCGTACAGATGTAAGGGCTTGTAGCGATCGACCAGCCATTCCATTGTGGCCCAGGCCCCCCCGCCCCTCCACCGTGGCAATCCTTGGATCCGTAAGTTGTGAATTGTAGCCATCGACATATCATTCCATCCCGCCTCCCGCACCCCCCACCTGCCAATTGAGTGTGTGAAGCAAAGATCGACGTGTCAAGGAGATATGGAAGAGACCCCTGGTGCGGCAGTGATTTATGGCAGTGGAATCGTTGTGCTTGATTCATTTTGGCAATCATGGTCCCCCCACCCCTGGTAAACCGAACCTGTCGGCACTGAGAGGGGCCCCCCAAATTCAAACCTTACTTACAAGCACACTGTACTAGTATTATACACTTGGACTCCAGGTACTTGCTGACCATTGTGCTGGCCACCTTTACTAAAACCGACGGGGTCCTGAGCGCCTCGGCCTACCATTTGGGTCGTGCTAGCCGCCTTCGCTAAGTTTTTCCAGCTCAGGTTCATTGGCGTTGGTCGAACTCTCAAATTTGCTCGCTTGGCACGTCAAAACTCAAAAAATTCATTTGGTTTTGTTCTTTGAGGCCGGAAGTTTACCCTTGGCGTACATCGCGTTGGGTTGGTGTTTGTGCCTTGTGGTCTGGGCCACCAGCGCCGGCACCAAACGTGTGGCCGACGTGTGGCACCACGAGGCTGTGCTGCTGAAGTGGCTTTTGCCGACTCAGTCGAGAAGCTGGCGATGGCGGGGGGCGGAAAGGGAAGGAAACCACGCTAGGTACGAGGCCATCGCTAATTAGGTTGGAGGCCATCACTTTGAAGATTTCACTGCGTTTAGCGGTGGTTGGACACAGTAATATGTCGCAACTAACTAGCGTTTTTGGAGGCATGGGTCTCCAAGAGTCCACGTGGCCATGCCAGAAACTTACTTATTTGCAACCTAATGACCCAAGCATGCAGAACTGCAGAACTCTTCTGAACCGTTCATGTTGGTGCGCATGTTGCGTGCATGGTCTGCACACATTCGTTGTATTGAGGTTTTCCCAGCAGCTGAATTCTATGTGCATCTCTGTGTTCATGAGCCCGGAACGCAGCACCAGTAAGTGTCCTGTTTGCGAGAAGGTTTGGAAACACATAGAAAACCATTCAAGCCGTTTCAAGCATGTTTTTTCACAACGTGTGCTTTGAGGCATGGCTTTGGGCTCTCCATGTTACAATTGGTGGCTGAAACTCATGGGCGCTCGGATCGCCTCGGATGCGGTGCTTTTGCCGGGTCTTCCAAGAGCGAAAGAGTCGATGTTGAAACGGTGCAGAAGACATACCAGCCCTATCCGGCATCATCGAAAGACATTAAAGGAACCCAATAGCAATGGCTTCCCAGCCGCCTTCGTTTGCTCAGGACGTCAATAGTTGGTGATCATGAGATGCTCACCGTTGGAAAGGGTGCAATAGTGGATAAAGAGGCCTGGCTTTAAGGAGATTGACTGCTTTGTTTCCCTCCACTTTTTCGAGGAACCTTTTTCTTTAGCTCTCCGAAATTCACAAGAAGGAATGCACCAATCAGCATTTTGTCGAACAGTTGAGCCGTGGTCAAAAGCTTTTGCAGCAAAACATAATGAAAGCGTAGCTAGCTCCGTTGTTCTTGCTTTAAGCCACTGCCGGCCCGGTTCCAACTCAGTGATATCATCATCAAACCCACTCCCTCTCAGTCATCTACATCGATAAGATAGCGTTAGGCTGGCCGCTACGATTATAAGTATAAGTTCAGTATCAAAATTATGCACTTGAACCAGGTACACACTTTGATACTCTTGCAACTGGTTGCTGCAGCTTTAGTTTACTCCTGCCGGCCTCAAGTAGTTCAGGCATTTCTTTCGAGCACACGATTGCTGCCCAGCCTCCTGACTGAATGTAGAAAGGGCGTCGGCAACTCCAAGCGGCCTCCACCCTACCAGCGGCCTCCAACCTAGTAGCGTCCTTGTTCCTAGTAGCAATGCCCTTTGCTACTAGTAGCGAACATTGCTCCTAGTAGTAAGGCCAGGACCCCCTAGTAGCTTCCTTGCTCCTAGTAGCACCTAAAGAACACCGTGATTCTTGAGACCCGAGCTTCAAGGCAAAGAGCGACCACGCCAACACTTTGAGCCTGCCACCAAGAGCAATGAAGCACTCGCATTCAATCAAATCCACGAAAGACAAAATGAAAGAAACAAAGGCCTAAAGAAAAACAGGAACAAAGGTAATTAAATTTAAAGGTCAATACAAAGTCAGTATATAATGAAGTGTGTGTTGCGTCATGTGCTTTTTAATCGGCACACCTCAAGGTTTTGCACCTGCAACAATCCCGTGATCATTGGCATGGGCAGCACTGTATGAATCCCAAGACATGAGAGGCACACGAAAGAAGCAGGCGCTTTCGCTAAGAAGTCAAGAAACCACGAACTTGGTCCGAGGTGTCCCATGCGGCAGCCGTCGTTGCCGGAGAAACAGGCCTCACTGCCGCTACAGCCGATTTCGTCACACTGCAGCTTTGCAGCTTTTCCTTCGCGGACGCTTTGTGTCGCTCCAGCTTTGAGGGAGGTTCCCCCGTTTTTGTGTCGCTTTACCTTGCCCCACCCGTGCCACTGAATCTCAACATGTCCACTTCTACATAGCTGCGCATGGCGGCCGCTTTTTGACCTAACGCTGTGTAGCGGCTGATCGAACCAGAGGCGGTGTTCATCGACAAAAATTGTCAATAGACTCTTTGGACCAAAACAGGGAAGGTGGCAGAAGATTAGGAATTTACCTCACTGCCCCAAGGCAAGGTATAGCATAGCATAGCCTGGGTGTCCGGAAACGATGCGTTGTATCGAGAGCCCGCCGTGTCAGGAAACTGTAAACCAGACGGTTTGTGGCACGAACCGTTCCGGAAACGGCTTGCATGTCATGTGCCGAGAAACCAGGAGAGTTATGTTTGAATGCCCACATGCTGGGGCCAAACCAATTAAATCATATGTTTGTAGCAGGGAGTGGATGCAATGTGCAGATTTCGTGTCACGGGTGAGGCAAGGTGCGATCCCCAAAGCAGAAAGATGAGCCAAGATCAAAAAGAAGGCCTAAGAGCGGCCTTCAAAAGAGAGCCAAAATACACAGGAGAACAAGTTTTTGGACTTGGCAGGGGCTACGGCCGAGAGCTGAAGGGCAGCGCTCTTGGGCATGCGCGCCCAAAGGTTTATATTTCTATAAGATCTAGACTAGTTCCTAGTGGCTTCTTGTTACTACTAGTATGTTTTTTTCCATGAGTTGGTTACCTGAGTCTCTCTACCTCTTTGACTTCCTTCTCCCTTTGCGCAGAGTGCGCTCCACGTGGTTTGGCACCTCTTTTGGGCATGGCTTCCCCAACTTGACGGAGCGTGCCCTATGCGGCCCCCCGTTTACAAGATACGGAATAAACATCTTTCCGGTTTCTTGACTGGTACTTTGCTTGACCCCTTCTAGACACGCCGTTGGTGGGTCGTGAAAATGAGGGTTGGTCGAGGAAAAGAGACGTTGGGCATGGGCCGATTAGCCGTGAGGAAATTTCAGCGTACTGGCACCACTATCAGCTGCCTGGCTCTCAAAAGCTCTGCAACAGAAGGCGCCGAAGCATGAGAGTTCGAGGCACATGTTAGAAATCAAATGAGAGTTGTTTTTGTAGGTTGGAGGCCGTCGCTAGATTCCAAAGCTTTAAAGGTTGTCATTCTTCGAGCATGCCTTACAAAGTGGTCGCTCCTCAAGGTCGGTCCCTCTGCACGCTTGCCGGCCCAAACCTTGGCAGTAGGCCGAGTGAGAACGATCTGGAGACAAACTTCGAAAGAAAAGAATAAAACATGTAAAAAATTAAGAAAAGGAAAATAAAAAAAATAAGATCAAACAGAAAAATGCCAACGGAATCCCGGCAGGTTTACCACCACAGGTCCGAAGCCAAGTTCGACCCGTGTTGGTCTTCAACCGTGGTCGTCCGAGCGCTCCGAGGCCTTCGTTTGTTCCGTTCGTAGCGTCCGATCGCTCCGTTCGTAAGGCCAGAAGCCCCCCGTTCGCGTTTTTGTGCCCCGTTTTTGTTCCTAGTAGCGATGCCCCTTGCTCCTGTTACTAGTAAGGCACCTGTTACTGCTAGCGATGCCCCTTGCTCCTAGTAGCTTCTTGTTACTACTAGTAAGGCACCTGTTACTACTAGCGATGCCCCTTGCTCCTAGTAGCTTCTTGTTACTACTAGTAAGGCACCTGTTAC